TTTGAAATAAAGAAATTATTACACACACACAAGTTTTTATAAAAATATATAGATAATATTACAACTAACATATGTTACTCTTATATAGTGATCAGAAAAGGAAGTACTCTGGCAAGACAGAAGGAATACTGATTTAATTATATTCATGAAAAATATGAATTATGAAATCCTAATTACTGAAGTTTGCAGGTAGTTTCACTGAAAACCTTCATAAGACACAACTCGTCCACTAGGAATTACCTAGGGGTTTAATGGCTTATTGCATATGCTAAATACAATCGTGAAAAAATCTACGAAAATGATTTTACTTCTATTTATGTTTTATATTGTAATCTATGTTTACTAGGGACTAGTAAAGTTTAAGTTGGGGGGTGTGATTAACCCTAGTTAGTGTGTAAATTATAGTTAAATAAATCAAATTAATAAAATAAAACAACAGAAAATCAGTAATTAGTATGAATTAGGGTTTGTACGGTAATTAGTATTTTTAATAGTTTATATCCAAAATTGCAGGTTTAATGCAGAATTACTACAAAATACAAGGTGCCAAGTAGGGAAGCTTGAAAATATAAAGGCTAAAGTGTAATTAAATCAAATAAAGAGTCAGCATGCATGCAAGTTGCAAATTCCAGCAAAGCACCACCGTCCGGACGGTCACCCTTGATGATTATCCTGATTTCTTCCACCTCATGCTTCCTAAACGACTATAAATAGGCACCTTCTTCACTTCAAAACGAAGGTCGGACAACTGCGAGCTCCTAATAGAAATCCAAAGAGAGAAAAGAGAAAAAAAAAAGAAAGAAAAGAGAAAAGAGAAAAGAGAAAAAGAGAAAGAGAATCAGCAACACGATCCGGACGGTGTTATATTTCAATCCAAACTCTGTATTTTAATTTTAGTTGTAATGACAACTGCCTGCACTCCTTGCTTGTCTGTAGCAATGGAGCGTGAGTAGTCGTTTATACCCTCCAGTGCGAGGAGAACATATGTATCATATTGACAAAATTATGAAAATGTTGATGTTTTATTTATACGTTTATTTCTATATGTATTATATGCTTAATGCGTGATATAGTAATGTGTATAATTCCGGTGATATGCCTTGGATTATATCATCAGTATATCATAAGACCCGCCGGTTAAACAACCACGACATTTCTACCGATATGGCTTGTCCTCCACTGAAATGCTAAGGAAGTTGACTGATGTGTGGTACAAACCTAAATGATCCTCATGAATGGCTTGTCCTTCTGGGTTATTAGGGTTGATTATTATGATATATAACTATTATGACAGTCTAACAATCACGATGTTCCTATCGGTATGACTTTGCTTCCACCGGAACATTGAGGATGTTTAACTGGCACATCTATACCCAGTGTAGCCTAAGAAGCAGCTGTGTTATAATATATTAACACCAGTGTAGCCTAAGAAGCGACTGTATTATGGTTCATATAGATGCACTTGCAATCATGAGATCAAATGAATAACTTAAGTATTCCTCATGAATGACTTGTCCTTCTGGTTTGCTTGGGTTAATCAGTTGACATAAATATAACTGGTGTAGCTTAAGAAGCAGCTGTGTTTAATATATTACTACCAGTGTAGCCTAAGAAGCAGCTGTGTTATAGTTTATATACATCAAACCTGCCAGTTGACTTTCCAATAACATGGGAGTTAATTGTTGTGAGGTAGCATTTTCAGAATTTAACAAATATAAAGCATATGGTATCCTTAAGCTGAAGGGTATCTTTCATATTTCTGTCATTAATCTGTTTTATTTACGCACTTTATTATCTCTGCACTTTATTTCCGCATTACTTTTATTTAAATAAACTAGTTATCAATCTAAGCTCACATCACAAGCTATCAAACATCACACTACTTTAAACAACTATTTTACTGTTTTAACTTTTTATTTTTATTTTCAACAAGAATTACTAAACTCTCTATGGGATTGATACTTGGACTTAAAATTGATAAAACTACAATTTGACCACTTATACTTGGGTGTATAATATAATATAATTCAGATCACTAAAAAATGTGAATCAAGTTTTTGGCGTCATTGCTGGGGATCAAACCCGGGTCACCCGTGTGATAGGTGAGAATACTTACCACTATACAATGCCAAAAACTTGATTCGCACTTTTTAGTGATCTGAATTATATTATATTATACACCCAAGTATAAGTGGTCAAATTGTAGTTTTCTCAGTTTTAAGTCCAAGTATCGATCCCACAGAGAGTTTAGTAATTCTTGTTGAAAATAAAAATAAAAAGTTAAAACAGTAAAATAGTTGTTTGAAATAGTGTGATGTTTGATAGCTTGTGATGTGAGCTTAGATTGATAACTAGTTTATTTAAACAAAAGCAATGCGGAAATAAAGTGCAGAGATAATAAAGTGCGTAAATAAAGCAGATTAATGACATAAATATGAAAGATACCCTTCAGCTTAAGGATACCATATGCTTTATATTGATTAAATTCTGGAAATGCTACCCCACAACAATTAACTCTCATGTTAGTGAAAAGTCAACCGACAAGTCTGATGTATATAAACCATAACACAACTGCTTCTTAGGCTACATTGGTGGTAATATATTATAACACAGCTGCTTCTTAGGCTACACCGGTTATATCTATGTCAACTGATTAACCCAAGCAAACCAGAAGGACAAGCCAGTCATAAGGAATACTTGAGTTATTCATTTGATCTCATGATTGCAAGTGTATATATATAAACCATAACACAGCCGCTTCTTAGACTACACTGGTGGAAATATATTATGACACAACTACTTCTTAGGCTACACTGGGTATAAATGGGCCAGTTAAACATCCTCAACATTCCGGTGGAAGCAAAGTCATACCGATAAGAACATCGTGGTTGTTAGATTGTCATAATAGTTATGTATCATAATAATCAACCCTAGTAACCCAGAAGGACAAGCCATACCGATAGAAATGCCGTGGTTGTTTAACCGGCGGGTGTTATGATATACTGATGATATAATCCAAGGCACAGCACCAGAATTATACACATCACTATATCACGCATTAAGCATATAATACATATATAAATAAACGTATAAATAAAACATCAGCATTTCCATAATCTAGCCAATATGATACATATGTTCTCCTCGCACTAGAGGGTATAAACGACTACTCACGCTCCATTGCTACATACTAGCAATGAGTGCGGGCAGTTTTCATTACAACTAAAATTAAAATACAGAGTTTGGACTGAAATATAACACGGATCGGATCGTGTTGCTGATTCTCTTTCTCTTTTTCTCTTTTCTTTCTTTTTTTTTTCTCTTTTCTCTCTTTGGATTTCTCTCAGGAGCTCTCAATTGTCCGACCTTCATTTTGAAGTGAAGAAGGTGCCTATTTATAGTCGTTTAGGAAGTATGAGGTGGAAGAAGTCAGAATAATCATCAAGGGTGACCGTTCGAACGCCGTCACCACCGTTCGGACGGTGGTGCTTTGTTGGAATTTGTAACTTGCATGCATGCTGACTCTTCATTTGATTTAATTACACTTTAGCCTTTCCTGTTTCTTGTATCTGGTAAGTGCTCTCTCTCTCTCACACACACACACACTCAATCCCTCAAATGGTGGTGTATGATGGAAATACTACTTGCAGGTTTGCCATTCTCAAAAGTAGCTGGAGAGGTTTGGAAGTGTAAAACGAATGAGGACTGCAAAAAACATTTTATCGGATGGGCTGTCTGTTTGGATGGATACCGCTCTTGCAATGTTGCCGATAAGAAACTAGCTACCATTTCCTACCAGAAGAAGGCAGATTATGAAAAAAAAAGGTGATCCAGAGTGACAATTCAGATTTTGTCATTGCAAATAAATCAAATCAAATTGAATAAATGGGTTGTCTCATGGTCCATTAGACAAATTGATTTTGTCACTGCACCTGCAATGTTACGCACGCGTTTTGGGCTGTCTCGTGGTCCATAGATGCTGGCTCATAAATTCTAGTGGATTTTAATTTTATTTTTAGCTTTGTCTACATCCAAATAATTAAAATTGAATTGAATAAATGGTGGATTTGAATGTACTTCTGAAGTTCCTTCGCATGTCTCGTATACAACTTTTAATTTAATGAGTCAATAGACAAATTGATGGAGGATGAAATTGTTGTAGAACTTAAATAGTCGTACTGCGACATGTGGACAGAGGACAAGTGGAAAGTACCTAACAATCCTAACAAACAAATATCCACCAGTAGTATAGATGACTTAAGGATTCCGTTCAAGGTGTAGTGGGCACGGAAAAACGTCAAGGATGGCAGCCAGCAACAGGGCAAACAAGGAGGGGACCACATAATCAGCCAAAGAAAGGAATCACCATGAAATCCTAACGACGGAATGTATAAATAGAAAACGATGCCACTGTGTAGATATATGAAATAGAGGAATACCACCCAGCAGGAACCTAGACAATATTTTGTAAAAGGCTTCCAGCCAAATACTTTATGAAAACAATCTACTTTCCAACGCAATACAATTCTCAATGAGCAAGAGTCTCCCTTATAGTGGATATAACTTTAGTCTTTTGGCTAGGGTGAACCACTCATATTGTCACCTCCATCTTATATTTAACACTTAACACATTTTCCATTGCTTACACACGTCCACACACTCTCTGGGCCACTTGCTTGATTGTTCTACAATTTGGTCAATTGATTTCAAGCACCATCAATCTTAAATTGTGGATGTTTGCTGACGTAATTATTGAGACTCGGGTATGGTCCTTCCTGATGATCTAAATGTATGCCCAATGCTTCATTAAGTAGATATGCCAGCACAATTCACCATGTAAACTTGAATTGCCAATTATTGCTCTTGTTACAAATAAGATGAGGCCCTTATAGTATATGGGTGGGGCTATTCCCACCCCACAAATTTTTATTCTCACCCTATTTAATCTCTTATTATCAAACTATTAAACTCACCCCTTCTATATTTTTTCCTTTTTAAAAAGGGTGTAACACGAGGACTTCCCAGGAGGTCACTCATCCTAGTACTACTCTCGCCCAAGCACGCTTAACTAAAGAGTTCTAATAGGATCCGGTGCATTAGCGCTGGTATAATCGCACCCTACCCCTTCTATATTCACCCCATTAGTAACTAAGTTTACACCATGCTACAAACATCTCATTAATAGAAGCTCACTCATTCTATGCACACTCCTTTAATGAAAAAAGTCATCATAAGAAAAAAATAATGAAAGAAGATAATTAGTTTGAATGTATAAATATATTTATGAATAAGAAGAAAAAAAAACCAAACAAAATTGAAACAAGAAAAAAAAACAAAAAACGAAACAAGTAAAAAACACCAAGGATGCTGAAGTAAGAAAAAAAAAAGAACGAAATAAGGAAAAAACAGAAAGAAAGAAGCAAACCGAAACATGAAGGAAAAAAAACAAGCAAAGATTAAATGAATAAGTAAAACTGCAAGACGCAAAACTGAATATGAAAAAAAAATAAGCATCAAACACAGACACAAAATCGAATAAGAAAAAAAAAAAAGTAATCTAAAAATACACACACACACACACACAAATTCTAAATAAAAAATTATTAAACTTAACAGGGATATCAAAACATAATGAAAATCTATATAACAAACATGAAATCAAGCATATAATTAAATCGAGAAGTAATATTCACATGTCTGTAACAAAAAAAATTCATATTGAAAAAAATATTTTTGTGAGTGTATTAGACGAGATAGAGAATGAAATTCTAATTATGAAAAAATATAAAGTGAGTTTATTTAGGAAAATTTTGAAAGCCGGTCCCCTTATATGGACTTATTTGGACTTAAGTCAGCAAAAGAAACTTATTTATTATGAAATTTATTTTTTGTCAATTCCACCAGACTATCATTTCCCTTAAGGTCCGTTTGGTTGGGGAAAAAAAATGATGGAAAGTGAAAATGATAGAAAGTGAAGTGGAAGAAAAGAAAATGATAGAAAATATATTTTCATACATGTATTTGGTTAGAATGAAAATTTACAGAAAAATTTTTAAAAAAATTATTGTTTTGTTTGAAAGAAAGTAAAGTTATAAGAAATTTTTTATAATTGTCTAAATTACTCTTAATTATATTAAATTGGTCTAAAAAAGAAAAAAAATATGTAATTACAATTGAACGTTAATTTGTTTTTAAAAAAAAGTGGCTCGAAACCGTAGTTCTAAGATAATTACCAACACAAAAGGTCTTTGGTCCAAATATATGATTAATCAAATTCATACCAAAATTTTTTTAAATTAATAACTAATAAAATATTTTAAGAAAAATAAGGTTAAAATGGAAAGTTAGCTATAGATCACAACTTTCTTGCATTTGCTTGTGTTTTTTACAAGAAAAAAAAGTTGGTTATTTGTAAGAAAATTCAAGCATGAAAAAAAATTATTTTTTCTATCATTTCCCTTTCCATACTAACCAAACACATTAAAATTCTAAAAAAAAAATATTTCGCTTTCTTGCATTTTCTACCATTAACAGTTTTTCTCTCTCATATATATTTATATTCATATATAGGTTATGACTATATCTCTCTCATATATATATATATATATATATGGTAACATTAAAAAAAAAAATAGTAACATTCAAATTAAAAAAAGTATCATTTAAACACAAAAAATAATACCATTTAAACACAAAAAAATAGTAACATTTAAACATAAAAAATAATAACATTCAATATTCATATTTTAAAAAATAACAATAGTAACATGTTTAACAAAAATAGTAACATGTTTAATAGAAACATTAAAATGCTTAACAAAAATAGTAACATACTCAAAAAAAAAAATATCAATATGGAACATTGAATAAAATTGAAAATAAAAATAGTAGCATTCAAACCCATAACCAGAGGAAGAAGCCTTCAATTCTTTAGCATCCAAAAAAAGTAACACTTAAAAAATAATAACACGCTCAATAAAAAATAGTAACATGAAAAAAAATAGTGATATGTGTTACTAAATTACAGTTTGAAATTGATGTTACTATGCTAATATCTAGTACGTGTGTGTTCTGCCCATGTAACTTTTCAAAATCTTGAGCTCGTACTCCAGCTTCCACCTTCATCCCTTTCAAATTAGTCTCAAATCTCGAAAGTCAATTATTTAAATGTATAATAGACAAAATAATGACTAAGAATTTGAATTTGAAGTATTATGAAATGCTTGTAATCAACAATTAGCATCATAAATCAAGCATTCCTATATTCAATCATTAGCCTCCGTATATAGCTCTTTGTAGATAATGTCTTTAACTTTCCATAACTGATCAAACTAACACCTTTAAGGGTATTTTTGAGATTAAAAAAAATGGACTTAACTTCTTACTAATAAGATTAAAACTGACTTACTCCCAAATAAGTTTCTTTGGTGGATTCAAGGCATTATAAGTCCATCTAGGAGAACTCTGCTCCAATTTTCACTTTATTAAATGGAGTATATGTAGGGTGGACTTAGTTACTAATGATGTGGGTATAGAATGAGTGGACATAGTATTTTGATAATGACAAATTCAATGGGGTGTGAATGGAGATTTGTGGGATGGGAATAGCCTCACCCATAGTATATTTCCATTACAATTGCCAAAAAACATTGGCATCCTTGATCAAGGATGCTACCCAAAAATCCTCATCCGATAAAAATCCAACTACAATTCCCTAAGACAAGCAGGCTGATTATGTAAAAAAGGATGTGATTATGTTCCTTAAAGCCAATTTGCATTCTAGTGGAATCTTATTTTTGGCTTTGTCAACATCCAAATAAATATAATTGAGTTGAATAAAAGGTGGATTTTAATTTAATTTAGTATAGGGTGGACTTGGACCAGGCATAGAGATTTTATGGAGGTTGTGCTGTAGAGCTGGACTCTTCCTGTGTTCGTTTTTGGGAGGTCTGCGTTTCAATCGAAGCTTATTCGGTTGAAACAAACCCTAAAGATTTGGAACAAGGAAGTGTTCAACAATGTGTTTCGGCGAGTTCAGGAGGCCGAGACCGAGATTATTAGGAGAGAGGTGGAACATGATCAGTCAGGGTCTCCTCCAGATCGGGCTGCCCTTCATCAGGCCAGGGTTGAGTTGCAGCAGGCTTTATAGTGTGAAAAGTCCTTTATAAGGCAGAAGTCTCATATCCGATAGCTTCGAGAGGGGGATTTGAACACCCGTTTCTTTCATGCTTCAGTGAGGAAGAAGCGGCATGTTCTTTCAATCCATCGGATCCAGGGTGATGACGCAGAGTGGATTACTGAGCTTGGGGACTATTGGTGCTTTGACAGTTTCCTTTTTTCAGAGATTGTTCTCTGTGGGGGTTGGCCAGGTTGAGGATGCAGATTTTTTTGGCTATTCTAGCTTTTGTGAATGATGCAGATAATGTTGGGTTGTGTGCTATGCTGACTTTGGAGGAGGTGAGACAAGCCGTATTCTCTATTGATTCAAATAGTGCAGCAGGGCTAGATGGGTTTTGCAATCACTTTTATCAGTTTTGCTGGGACATTGTGGGAGCAGATTTGCTGGCTGCAGTTCAAGATTACTTCTGGGGTTCTCCTATGCCTCGAGGATTCATGAGTACATTGGTGGTGCTTTTGCCCAAAAAGGAATCACCTTCTACTTAGGCAAATTTTCGGCCGATCAGTTTATGTAACGTGAGCAACAAGGTACTAACGAAGATCCTTGTTTCTCGTCTGTTGTCCTTGTTGCCGTGAATCATATCACCAACACAGAATGGGTTTATGTCGGGCCGAATATTGCAGGATAGTGTTCTTTTGGCTCAAGAGTTAGTTCATGATTTGGGGAGAGGTTCTCGAGGTGGGAACGTCGTACTAAAGCTTGATATGGCTAAGGCATACAACATGATGTCTTGGACATTCATCCTTCACATGTTGCGAGCTTTTGGGTTCTCTGAGGGCTGAATCTCTTTGGTTCGACAGGCTATCTGGGGGTCGTGATTTTTTGTGATGATGAATAGGGTCAATCAAGGCTTTTTCCAATAGCAAGGGGGGCTGTGATAGGGTGACCCCCTTTCTCCTTGTTTGTTCATCATTGTTGTAGAGTATCTTTCTCGAGGCTTTGACTCTTTATATGCTCGGTTTCCAGGGGTGGCTTATAGTATTGGAGTTGGGGGTTTTAGTTTCTCATTTAGCTTTTGCTAATGACATCATTATTTTTACTAATGGGTGCTGGTCGAGCTTGCAACGAGTTATGGATTTTCTTCATCATTATGAGGCTGCCTCTGGTCAATTCGTTAGTCAGGTCAAAAGCAGTTTCTATATCAGTTCACGTGCCTCACATTCTAGAGAGGTGATTGCATGATAAACCATTGGTTTTCAGAGGCGTGACCTTCCATTTATTTATCTGGGGTGCCTTATTTACTTGGCTTATCTCCGGATCTCATACTTTGATGAGATGATTCAGAAGGTGCGTGAGTGAATTTCTGGATGGGTGAATCGCTTGTTTTCCTTTGGAGGTAAGCTCACCTTGATTCGTCATGTGCTCGCGTCGATGCCTATTCACTTGTTTTATGAGCTAAGGCCTCCTGCGGATGTTTTTCACCAGTTAGAGAAGATGTTCACTCATTTTTTGTGGGGTGACATATCTACTCACTGGAGGATTCACTAGTGTCACTGGGCTGAGGTATATTACCCTGTAGAGGAGGGCGGCTTAAGGGTGCGTTCTTTTTCTTACTTAGCTGAGGCTTGTGAGGTGAAGCTATGGTGAATTTTTTGTGCTCAACAGTCACTTTGGTCCATTTTTATGAGGGATAAGTACTGTAGGTTCACCTATCCTGGGCCGATTGAGTTTCGTTACCCGACTTCACCTTTTTGGAGGCGGTTATGTGGGATTCGATCCGTGGTTGAGCCGAGGATCAGATGGTTATTACGGTCAGTGAGGTTAGTTTCTGATATGATTGTTGGTTGGGGGATTACCCATTGGCTTTAGTGTATTTGGGGGTAGCTTCTGGGTTCCTGTTTCTGCTTATTGGACTGGTCAGTAGTGGGACAAAGGCTGATTGTTGGGGGTTTTGCCTTCTTTAGTTGTTGAGCAGATTGTGCAGATTCGATTCTGA